TTGGACACTGTGGAGGGGTCGACCCCTCCAAAACGGAAAAAGGGAAACTGCCCTTATGGGAGGAACCGGTAACGTAGAAGTACCGGCCTCCCCAACGAGGATGTATGGAGAACGAATGAATGTGAAACAAGGCGACCAACAAATTCTGGACCACGGGAGTGCTCGGGACGAGCACAACTGAAGAGAGGGGCGGATGCGGCAAAATGAACGGCGCAATAAGACGCGCAAGGGACACCAAGGCCGAATGCAGACGTTGCCAGCAGAACACCGCGGAATCCTACGCAATGACCCATTGTTATCGCGTTGTCTCTGTGGGAACGCTTCGCGTATTCGTCGTAACCGTGGAGATTCGATGTTAGAACTACAATAGAGCGATTGTTGTTTCTTATGCAACGGTCTGTTCTAACGTTTCCATAGAAGCGACTCTTCTGGATTCCAGACACGTTACAATATATATACACATTCTCTTGTTATGTTTGTGATTAATAATATTGAATTGAAGAAAGCAGTCTTCTGGGATTTGGCACCGTGTATATGTGGTGTTAACCGACGTTTCGGAGGAACGTATCGCCACCATCTTCAGGGTAGAAGAGTCTGCTTTTACCGGTTCTCGCGGTCTCTTCGCTTTGCAGATTTCTTATATTTTTCTTCTACCCTGAAGATGGAGGCGATACGTTAATCCGAAACGTCGGTTTACACCACATATACACGGTGCCAAATCCCAGAAGACTGCTTTCTTCATAGTCACCGCCGTGAAAGCCTCAAATCTTACAATATTGAATTGTTTACAGAAAATTCTGATATGTACGAGATAGTAACTACAAATAGTTCGAATTTACATCTCTCCTTATCAATTGAAACAGCATTTCAGAAGTGTCCGCAGTACCTTGGAATTAATGTTTATAATAGTATCCCTAGCAACGACCGCTTGAAAAACCAGCCGTTGCTTGGTTACATATATATCTGGGCTATTGCTAGGTAAATAACAATATACAAATTGTTTGAGACGTGTTTTCTATTGATGAGTCTAAAGGAATATACATCTAGTGCTCCACACTATTTGATTACAGCAGATCTGGGAGAACCTTCGTCGTTAAAATTCATTACAAGGTTAGGAACATTATTATATTAGCTAAAATGAATTACTTTGGTGATAATGGGCTTGATGTATTCTCTAATTAAGTCGTATTTAAAAAATAGATACAAAAAGGGTAAAATTTAGCAATAAGTTGTCAAATAGATGCAAAAGCAATATATGTATTCCAAAAGTATAGATTTTGGGACCGCTGTTATTTCTGATCTATATAAATGTCTTGCCAGCTTTTATACCGCGTTCTGACCTATGGAACACTTCTCCTGTGTTATTTGCCGAGGATACGAGTGTAATAATAAATTAATTAAATTTTATATATCTGGAAACGAAACACAATATAGTGGTTAGATTAATGAATGAATGGATTAAATTAAACATGGTTTCCTAAAATTTTGACAAGTATTGTTGCTTGCATAACTTAGATAAAAAATTGTGCTAACAAATTAAATATTGAATATGAAAATATATTTTTATAGAGTCAAATGAGGCAAGATTCTTGGGAATTAACCTGTATAACATAAATTCTTGGAAAAAGCATATCGGTTCAATCAGATGTAAATTAAATAAAGCCCGTTATATAATTAGGAAAACTAGACAGTACTTATGTATTGAAGCCCTCAAAATGGGGTATTATGAATTTCTCCACTCTTTAATGTCTTACGGTTTAATTTTTGGGGCAAACAGAACTCATAGAATGAGGGTTTCTAAATTTCCGAAGAGAGATATTCGAATAATGGTGGGAGCTTCAAAAAGAGATTAATGCAGAAAAAATTTTAGCCTATTGAAAATACTACCACTGCCCTCCCAATATATATATA